TAAGAAAGGAGGGGTCTGAGCTAAATTGTGTAAAGCTATTACTTAATGTCTACCTGACCTAGGCGGTGTCCCCTTGTGGAATTTACCTTAAGTCAGGAGACTCGCCTGTGGGTTGTTATCACTGTTAATCCTCGGAAATTGGGTGACCACCTGGGCGATGTCTCCTTTAGTCCTTGAAAGTGGCTAGGGGAGATATCTGAGTGCAGAGAAAGCCTTTCCTGAGGCTGTTCTCCAAATACCTGGAATGTGTATGTCCAGAGAGTGATCAGTCCACACTGTTAGCCCTTCTTAGGGAAAAGTCAATTGGGAAAACTATGAAGGCACACATGATTTTCATAACAGAATACAGCTGATATACAACAAGCCAAGTAACACCAAACTCCTTGGGATTTGGCTTCCTCTGGAGGAATTCCATGATTCCTCCAGGTAGTGACTTTGCCATAACCAGCTGAGTTCTTATGATATTCCTGCGGCCCGCAGCACTCACGGTGTTGTGGCCATGGGCAGCAGGGATCAGGAGCTCAGTACACAGTGTTGGGCCATATGGCCTGGCCAAGCCCCACTACTACTTCTTATTAGCTATGGAATTTGGGCAGGCAGAGCACTTTCATTTCTTAGCTGATGCATGGGGCATTATTCTCTACTCCATGTAGAAATTATTTCTTCTGCTTAGTGCAATTCTTGGTTCATAGTACAGATTATTATTTCTTTTAAACAAAGAGGATTTCATAAACTCTCATTTCTTTTCTGCTCTATATGTTAAAGCACACACACACACACACACACACACACACACACACACACAAATTGAAATTTTTTGCACCCTTTTACCCTCTAGTTTTATCAGTCTTTTGTACAAAGTAGTTTTTTGAATAATGTTACCCAAAGACTGGAGACATCCCCAAGAAAGTAACAGTGAGCTGGGCTTAGGGGGTGGGAGGATCCGGGTGTGCTAAGGAGGCACTTTGGAAGCAGTACCATCAGGCTGGTGTGTTCCTCACCAGATAATCACTTCCCAGCAGAGAAGTTGAACTTATTCCTGAGAGGTCAGTGTTTTGAAATGAAGTGGCAGTCCCATGGCTGCCTCTTGCTTGTGTTCAGTTGGCTGAATAGTCTAGGCATGAGGTCATGGGATTGTGGGAAGGACACGGCATCCTTGGTCCTTGCTGTTTTCATGGTGGTTTTCTCAATTTGAAATTTTTGAAGGATGGAAATGAGGAACATTGAGTGTTCTAGCATTTTAGGCTGACCTGAGAGAGTTGGAAAGGAGGGTGACTGCCTATTGCAGCCTTTCTGGACATTGGTGTGCTTAGGGTGAGGTCCTTAAGTCACAGCCTAGGTGCAGGTGGGCCAAACCTGATGACTTCTGCAGTCTCTGCGGTTCTGCTACCTGTGACCTGTGTGATTATGTTCTTGTCCAGGTGATGGTGTGGATTCATGGAGGTGGACTGGTGATAGATGGAGCATCAACCTATGATGGACTGCCCCTTGCTGTCCATGAAAATGTGGTTGTAGTGGTCATTCAGTATCGTCTAGGCATCTGGGGCTTCTTCAGGTGATATATAAATATTCCTCTCTACATATTAGTCCTTAAATAAGTCTGTTTCTGTTATGATAACAACAAAAATGAGACAATGACATTATATGGAGTTCAAACTTATTTATTTAGCTTAGATTTGAGATATTCAAAGTCCAAAACTGTGTGGTTGTATCAACAAACCATTGGTGCGAGCCCTTAGCTGTGTTACAACATGATACAAAAAGATGGTCTGAACATACAGGTAGATCACATGGTGAGGCAGGATGCCTGGAAGTGAGAGGGGGATAATCTTCCTCTTTTCATAAAATCTCATTCCCTGGAGAAGCAATCATAGTCACAGGAGAGCTACATTAGTTCCTTCCCTGTGACCAAATAACCTTCCCCTGGCCTCAACTTTCACAAGTCCTATTATTGCCAAATGTTGATACAACATAGCCCAGGACTCCCACACTGAACCCTTGGTGGGCAAACTATATGCAAATCCTAGCAATTAGTGCAAGGCCTTGTTACAACCTTAGTCAAAGCCCATGTGTCAAGCCTAATATTGTTACAACCATCCACTGTTATAAATAGCTACTCTAATGCTATATCTGTTCTGCACAAGGCCCAGAGTGCTCTGAGGCAGATTAAGTAACTTTATTTCTCTACACAATGCTACTGTGTTATTTATAATGACACTGATGTCCTTGCCAAGGCTGTAGCACTCATTCTGACTGTATCTCATACCAGCTGCACTTATACTTTTGTTCCTGTGACTCTGAGTCCTTTGTATCTTTTGTGCCTCCTAACTGCAGTTCTCTTCTTCAGCTATACAAAACACATGCCCTAATTTGCTTTCTGTTGCTATGACAAAACACTCTGACCAAAAGCAACTTGGGGGAAAAGGGGCTTATTTGGTTTATGCTTTCAAGCTCTAATATATCACTGAGGGAAGTCAGAGCAGGAAATTGAACAGGAACTGAAGCAGAAACCAGGAGGGATGCGGATTACTGGCTTTTTACATGGCTCATACTCAGCCATCTTTCTTACGTAGCCCAGACCCACCTACCTAGGGATGGTGCCATTCCCTGTGGGCTGGGCTATCCCACATCAATCAGCAATCACAGCAATCTCACAGACATAGGCACAAGCCAATCTGATCTGGGACATTCTTCGATTGAGTTTCCCTCTTCCCAGACAGTTCTTGACTGTGTTAAGTTGGCAAGAAGAACCAGCACAACCCATATACACGATTTCTTCAGGTTTGCAGTAAGTGACACTGCCTTGAAGACGTCTTTCCTTGTTGTGCAATCTAACTCAGCTATTTATTTAGCTTAGATTTGAGATATTCAAGGTCCAAGACTCTGTGGTTGCATCAACGAGCCATGGGTGCGAGCCCTGGGCTGTGTTACAACATGATACAAAAAGGGGATCCGAACATACAGGTAGATCACATGGTGAGGCAGGATGCCTGGAAGTGGGGAGGGGATAGTCTTCTTCTTTTCATAAAACTCATGCTCCACTCCTGTGTCCTCTTTACACAATTATGTTTTTCCATTATCTGTCATTATATTGTTTGCACCTGTTGGCCTGTGGTGTGCAGTAAGAGCCAAATGTAGACAGAGATTTCATGTGTTTTCTTCTCAGATGAGCTGTACATTTTAAACCCTGGTTGTATGCATGGTGGCTCCTGACCTCCTGAACATAGAATCCTCTCAGTACATTGCTGTGGAGATGAGTGGCAGGGGAACACTCTTGTCAGTGATGTAGAGCTGGCCTTATTTCAGAAAACTCAGAGAGCACCAGTCTCTCTCTAGCCCTTAGAACACGGTCATGCCATGTCTAACTCTACCCACTATTGTCCCACAGCACAGGGGATGAACACAGCCGGGGGAACTGGGGTCACTTGGATCAGGTGGCTGCACTGCGCTGGATCCAGGACAACATTGTCAACTTTGGGGGCAACCCAGGCTCTGTGACCATCTTTGGAGAGTCAGCAGGAGGCGAACGTATCTCTGTTCTTGTAAGTGTTCCTGATACCAGACCTCATGTCCAGACTTGCTGTCTGCGATGAGACCTCTTACAGACCAGCGCATCCAGCCTTGGCACTTCTCCTCTCCTAAGCCAGATTCAGGTTCACTCTACTTATTGATCAGTGTTAGCTGGTGGATGGCTAAGGGCTAAACTTTCCTCAGCTCCTAGGGACCTCGGAGCTCAGCTTCGTGTCATGGGCCATAACAAACACCATTTGTATACTGCACCATGCTACTTTCCCACTTCTGACTTATTCGAGTTTTCTTTGTGAGTTAGACTAACCTTGGAGTTAATTTCTCTCAAGAAGTGTTGGATGTAAACTCCAAATAGGAAAAGCCGAGGGCATGAGTGTAATTGTTTGGTTTCAGCCTGGGTCTACACAGTAAAGGGACTTGGGCACCCAGAAGAAGCAAAGGTGTCCTCAGGTGGCTTTTCCAAGCCCAAGAGGGAAGGTGGCAGTCTCTGGGACTGAGTTATATGGTGCAACATAGAACTGGAGGGCACTGAGGGGAGCTATGGAAAGCATTGGTGACTCCTAGGACCACTCTAGCTCCCTCAAAGCTGAGCAGAGAATCAGCCCATTACTGCATTTTTCAAACACATTAATTTCATATTTTGAATTTCAAATGAAATGTTCATACTTTAGAGATAAAGTGTAAATAAACCCCAAGAAGCTGGGTTATGGTGTGTGTCTCTAGTTCTATCACTCTGAAAGCTGAGGTTTAAAGGCCGCAAGATAAAGGCCAACCTTGACTGAAAAACCAATTCTTGCCCATTCTAAGCTATTTGGCAACAAATATTTCCTTAAATGGGAAGCAGTTTTCTGTATTATTATCTTTTTTTATAATTACATAGTATTCCACAATGAAAATAAAACATCATTTGCACAATCGCATTGGAATTCTGACTTATGATTTTAATATTATGAATATCAGGAGCACACATTTTTTATGAGCCTCCACGATCACCTCTCTTGGGATAAATTCTGAGTAATATAATTCTGAAGCATAATTTGTGACTAAGAATTGTCAAATCATCTTTCCAGTGGTTTGATTATAGTGAAAGGTTCTTGCCATGTTGTTGTTCAGTTCTTATTTGGGGTTCTGTCTTTACTGGGCTGAGGGTCTTTTGGAGGAGGTGGTTCCAGAGTGAACTTAGAAACAGGATACATTTGCACTGCACTGGGTCCCCAGGAGAATGGCCATGACAGTGGAGCTGATGGACAGAGCCTTAAAGACAAGTGAGTTCAGATGACTCCATTTCTGTGCAAACTCTCTTCTCTCTCCCCCGCCAGGTGTTAACCCCACTGGCCAAGAACCTCTTCCACAGGGCCATCTCCCAGAGCAGCGTCATCCTCAATCCTTGCCTGTATGGGATAGATGCCAGACCCATAGCTAAGGTGGGTGTCACCCAGGACAGCTACTACACCCCTTAGTCTGCCACCTTGGGTCCTCATCCTTGCTGCAAGATCCTTGTCTTTCTTGCTGCAAGGTTGAGCTGAGGTGCTCAAGGGCTGCCTGAAATAAGAATGAATGAATAAGAAGGGCTGATTTCTTACCTACATCTAAGCCACACTCTACATTTATTAAAAGTTTCGTGTTGAGTATGTTATCTAGGGCTCCAGCAATTCTGCACACATTTTAGTGTACAGGAGACATGGTCACTTCCTGAGCATGTCACATCTAATCACCACCCCCATCTGTGGGTGATGGGAAGGGAAACACAGAGATTGAATGGCATGCCAAATGGTAGAGGGGAGGATTAAAACCAGATGGTGAAATTCTTGATTTAACCCTTTAACATCCAACAGCTTCTTAAGAGGCATTTTACTTTGAGTATTTCCCTCATCCCTTTAGTGGTCCTGGGAATGGACATTGTGCCCTTTTTTTAAATCAGGACAAGGTAACAGAGACATAGATATTGTGTAACCAATTCAAATCTATGCTCTAGTCAGTAGTAGAGGTACTTTCTGGTACCCAACCCCCACGCTTGTTTCTTTAGACTCCTGTCAGCAACCCTCTACCTTCTTCAGAAGTCAGGCATGGGCTAGAAGCCACAGTCTGCATGGAGGGAGGGAAAGATTCGCTCTTGACCCCTGATCTCTTACAGAAAGTGGCTGCTCTTGCTGGCTGTAAAACCACCACGTCAGCTGCCATGGTTCACTGCCTTCGCCAGAAGACAGAGGAGGAGCTTTTGGAAATCACACTGAAAATGGTAGGTGTGTTCATCCTCCTGTTCCTACTGTGTGTACTTGGCTCAAGGCTTGACTCATTCAACTGTCTTCTGAAATAGCTTATCCCCTCTCGGGACAGTGCCAATTTTATGATGTAAATTGATTTCCATTGCTTCCTTAACATGAAATAACTGTAAACCATAAATAAATCTAAAACTGCCCAGTAAGAACATTATATGACAACCCTCCAGCTTTATCAAAGCTTAATATCATGGTATTCTTGTTTTCAGGTATATTTTAAGTTATATTTCTACACATAATCACCAAATGGAATTGGATGGGAGTGAGGGCATGTAATACAAGGCCTCTAAGGAAAGTATCACATACAATCTAGGACCACCTGTCCAGAGAAGGTATCACCCACAGTGAGCTAGGCCCTCCCACATCAATCATTAATCAAGAAAATTTCTCATAGACATGCCCACAGGCCAAACTAATGGAGGAGATTCTACAATTGAGATTCCCCCAGCTTAGGTGACTCTAGTTTGTGTCAAGATGACAAAAACTAGCCAGCACATCATCTGTTTCCCCAGCAGTCTACTGTCTATTCATTCATCTTATAACCAATTCTGTTAATTATTTTTCATTAATCTAGTAGGTATCCATTTCAAATGTTTAACTCTTCTATCTTCAGTCTGTCTCATCTCTATTAATCATCCAGTCAACCTGTATCTATATGCCTTCATGCAGACCTTCAAAACAAAGGTCTGTAGGATTCCTCTAGATGCCACAGAAGTCCCTTGGCACTGTGCTGTTTCTGCTTGTCCAGGGATTGAGCCAATGTGGACATAAGGCTTTCACTGTCAGGCTTAGGTTAGATGTTATAATAATTAAGAGAAGACTATTTTCTGATACTCAGGGAAAAGGCAACTATTGCAGCCACTCTCCATGTGGCACAGGAGGACTCAGCTTGTACAGGAATAGCTGGTGACTTTGAAGAAACCAAAAGAACCCAATATTCGAGAACATGCTATAAGTTTTAGGATCTTGTACAAATACTTGATTATCTATTGGTCCCAGCATGCATGCACACTTACTCATATGCATGAGTGTGCACATACATACAGCACACTCTTGGATGGTGAGACTACAATGTGCAATGGAGACACTGTAGTGGTTGCTTCCCCTGTGCAAGTGAACCCAGTTAGCTAGAGGATAATGATGTTATCATTGTCATCCTTACAATAAAGAAAAGCATGGGTTACAATGAGTTCCAGTGATTTTGGAGGTGTCAGTTTTCTGATCCCAGATGAGAATGCTCTTCAGTGTCTCTTGAACAGAAAAAGGAATGCATTGTCACAGAATCCTTCGGCAATTGAAATGTTCTGGAACAAATTGTCTAGCCCATGGTTATATCCAGATGTTCTTCAGATACTTGGGAATGAATCAACTCTATTACTCAGTTTTCTGTTCTTTTCTTTTTTCAGCACTCCATATTCATACCCTATCTGCTTAGAAGGCATTTTCCCTTAATTTAAACAGTAGGCTTACTGTAGACTCTGGTGGACTGACATGGTTTAGCCAAGATTTCTGACTTACATAGAAGTAAACTGTGGTGGTGGGGGGCAGGTTAGATGCCCAAACACCACCTGGGAAGACATGGTACAGCATCAAACCACACAAGGGATCTTGTGGGTTGTACCTGAAAAGTGAAGAGGTATGATATAGTTGGAATCTGGAATCTTCCTTAACTGTTCCTCATACTGAGGGACGTGATGTTCCAGATCATGTCTAGTTTCTTGAATTCATGAAGCAGGAATGAGGAAAGAGGCAAAGTGGTGGAGGGGCTTCCTGCTGGTCTATCCCAACTGTAGCCTTATCCCCCACCTGACCTCTGTATGCTTCCCACACTGCCTTGACCTAATTCCACCACTCCGCAGAGGAGACATTAGGGTGTTGTCGCCAGTAAGAAGAGTTCAGATTAGGAGCACAGGAATTGGCAGCAGACATCGTTCCAGAGATCCTATGACCTTGAATGGTCCCAAAGCCTGTCCCTTGGCTGTCACTACCCCCACATCATCTGGATCCTCTGTGCCCTGCCAAGAGGACCCTGACCCATTTCATATCTGGTTCTATGATTAAAATATCCTGATAAACTTAAGGGAGAGTTTATTTTAGCTTACAATTCCTGGTTATAGTCCATCATTGTGAAGAAGACATAATGGCAGGTGATTGAAGCAGCTAGTCACATCACATTTTTAGTCGAGAGCAGAGATAAATGCATAGATAAATGCTCTCTTGCTTGCTTGGGCTGAGCTATACAATTTTATACAGGACTACCTGCCTAGGGAATGGTGCCCTCTACAGTAGTCTGGATATTTCTACACCAGTTAAATTTCTTAGGACACTTTCTTATAGACAAACCCACATCCCAACTCAGTGTAGACTCCACCCCATTGAGACTCTCCTCAAAGGTGGAGTACCAAATTGACAATTAAAGCTGACCATTACAGACCTAGTATAAGGTTCCCTTTACCTTGGACCTAACCAAGGAAGAATCAGGAGAAAGAACTTATTATCTCTAGGGCCAAATTCAAAGGATCAGCTTTGAACAAAGAAGTTTTTTCACCCAATTTCTCTGCCTTTATTTCCACAGAAATTTGCCTCTGTTGACCTTCACGGAGACCCCAGAGAGGTAAAGTCCTTTGCTTTCGGAAATATAGGTACTGAGTCTTAAAATTAAGGAACAATTCTCATTTGTAGAACAGAACTAGTATCTGTGTGTTCACTGCTAGGGTCTAGAGAGGGAAAGTTACTTGTGAAGGAAGCATAGCCAGGAGGACCGGGCAGGAGGACCTGATTCCTAGTCCAGTGCTCCCACTCAGCAACTCGGTGTCCTATCCTGCTGGACCAGAGTCACCTATCCCCTTCTAAGTGAGATTTCTCCGCTTTAAAAAATGATCTGGTAGGAGCAGGATGCACCAGAACCTTCCATGTTCAGGAGACTGAGATGCTAAGGAGCCCTGGAGTTATCAGTGGGGAGGGAACACAGGGCTCCTGAGAGGACACAGGGCTGATACACTGTGACAAAGGATATGGTGATATTTTATTTGTACTGAAATGTGATTTTATTTGTATGTTAATAAATAAAGTTGCCTGGGGGTCAGAGCTAATAGCAAGCCATAGCAAAGCAGAAGTCTGGCAGTGATAGCACACGCCTTTAATCTCAATCAAGGATACCACCAGCATTGAGACACATGCCTTTAATCTCAATACCAACCATAGAAGACCTGGAGGTCTGTATAGATGATGGGCAGTGACAAGGAGGTCATGTGGTTGGGTTTACAACCAATGATAAGGCAGAACAGAAAGTCTATAAAAAGACAGAGACACAGGAAGGAGGTCTTTTGCGGAAGGAAGGACAGGAGCGGCAGTGAAGGGTAAGGATTTTAGCACTTAGCTATTACTCTGACCTCTTGGGCTTTCATCTCTGCATGGGCTCTGTGTTTCTTATTTAACAAGGCAGTTGCATCTATAGAAGGAGACTTTGATCTTAGTGCTGAGGACACCATCCTCTTCTCACCAGCCAGGAAACTCCAACAGTGCCCTCCATCTCATCCTTCCTACTCTCCCACCTCCCAGCACCATCCAGGAGATTAGTTCTGCACCATCTGCAGTTCCACCCCCTCCGTTTCCTCCACGGGGCTCCCAGAACTCCTCTGAAAGGTCCTATGAGAAAGAAATAGGATTCTTTCAACATTCAGAAAAGTCTACTTATAGTAGACTGTGATTTAGGAATTGGGACATGAGAACAAAACAGACAGGATCTGTTTTCCTAGAAACTTCTAGTATTACCAAAATAGGGGAAAAAAGTAAACTATATGGTTTATATTTCCATGGATAGAGTCAAAATAAAGACAGTGGGGGATGAAGAGCTGCACAGAGGTTTGATGTCAACAATAGGGTCAGGGGGTGACTTAACAGTTGGTGGCCTCTTTGAGGAGCTCTAGAGAAGAGAAAGAAGTCAGCCATTTAGAAACCTAGGGGATGAAGTGTTCCAGGCAGAGAAAAGAGCCTCAGAAGGGGTCTGCTGAAGAAGGCTGGCATGCTTGAGGAGGAACAATTAGGAATGAGCAGACCTGAGACTAGGTGGGTAGTAGTAGCAGGAAGCTGAGTCAGCCAATGAACGGCTTGGACTGTGATTCAGCCTGGAAGGGGAGCTCTTTGGAGAACTACAAAGAGCTCTAACAGTGGGTTTACTAATGTCTCTGACTATAGCATACTAGACTGTAGGAAAGGGACAGGGAAAACCAGCTGGGAGGCCATTGTGTGACAACCAGGCCCTGCATTTTTATAGTATCCATATTATGCCAGGGCATGGGTGGTGAGGTGGCAATGCATTGTTTTGGATCTACAAACTGTGAAGGACTATCTGAGCAGGACTTACTGTTGGTGTGTGAAAAAAACAAAGGAAGGAGGCCCATGACTTGTCTCACCCAAGCAGGTAATGCACACAGCACCACAGTGCAGCCAACAGAATCCCAGGGGACACTGGCAAGTGCTCAGGGTGTCACAGTTACTACTGGGGGACCGCCTCTTGGATGAAGTTCCACCTGGATTTTCCCTCTGTGTTCATGTCCATCACTTTAGTATTTTCCCTTCTCATCCCCATGTCCCTTGATGTCACCAGACTTACTCTTATGAAAAAAAGAGAGATCTGCCATCTTAAAATCCTGACCTTTATTTTAAGTGGACACTCCTTCATGGAGTTGGTTCTAAAAATCATTGCTGAGTGTCACAGATGTTCCAGACGTTGTACAGACAATATGCTCCACCCTTTACTCCCTGGATCCTGTCCTTAAGCATTCCTCCAAATCAGGACTATTTGAAAGTCTCGGAAATGGACCTGCACAGTGATTCTTTGTCCATGAGGTCGTGCCTTGCTCATTGTTGGGAAAGGTTCATTTACCGAGGGCATCTACAACTGCTCTGTGTGGCCAGCACGTATCTCCCTTCAGAGGAGCTGCTTCTGTTGCCTGCACCCACGATGGCTTCACACACTGCACAGTTTTCCTGTGGCAGGAATAATTGTCCACAGGTCCTGGTCTTCATTGTCAGCCTGTTGAAAAAGGGTTTGGTCCTCACCTCCAACAAGTCACAGTTTGGTCACCTTGAGTGATAAGTTTGATGTCTTCTTAAGGCTAATTATATTTTTTAACAGTACAAATTTAGATATGCATAGATGGATGTTATCTACCATATCCATGTCTGTAATCATGGATTCTGTGTTTGAGAACTCACTTATTTAGTAAAATATCTCTGGAACCCTAAATCATCACTCTTGACAGTATTCTGGTTATCTTCACAATATATGTAAAGCAGGTGATGCCCAGGTTCCATCTGAGCTCAAAGAAGAAATACTTTGTCCTCTTGCTCACACTCACAAACTCACAAGTATCTTCCTTTTGGTCTATTTAGTGCTGCCTTTAAGAACAGTAATTTGCTGGTTTTTAAAATAGCCTTTTATGAGATTAATTTTTTTAGACTTTTGTACATGAATATACTGTATTTATACCATTTCTATCCCCTCTCCTACGCCTCGTCCTCTCTCTCTCCAATTCTTCTTCAGTTCATGATCTCATCTTCTAGAATCAGTATTGCATATTGTGTACAGCACACACACACACACACACACAGACACACACACACACACACACACACTGATCCTCCAGCTCTTACAATCTTTCTGCTTCTTTTTCTCTGACTCTTGGGATAGGTGTTGCACTGTAGATATCCTGAATGGGGACAGGCAATTATACTCTGCAATGACCTCTGTTTACTGTAAAAGGAAGCTTCTCTGATAAGGGGTAAGAACAACACTCACCTCTGTGTAAATGGATAACTGTTTAGAATACAGTTAGACACCATGTTGATTTAGAAAACCATCAGCAGCAGGTTCTCCCCTAAGGTCTGTGACCTCTATAGCCATGGGTAGTTGGCTAGGTTTAGAGCACTAAGTATGGTTTCCTCAAGCTGGATCCAGGCATGTGGGGTATGTAAGGATAGGGATGGTGTGGTGAGGCAGTTATAATTTTCTTAAATTAGCATACAAAGTATTATGTTTTGTTATTGCATTTTCCAACAAAAATGATTAATATGAATTAAATTTGTTTTTAAACAATTTTGAATTCTGTACATGTGATACATACCAACCACTTTTATCTCCAAATTCTTTACAATCTACCAGCTCCCTTTTTTTTCCCAAAAATCTCTCTCTTATATTTATAACTATTTGTTTTATTTTGCAACCCACTTAGATTATCCAGGGCTGTCCATGTGATCATGGATTTAGAACTAACTCTTGGATACTGGTGGGTTCATCAGTTTGTATACAACAAGACACTGGCTCCTCCTCACTAGAGTCTATTAACAGTCAATAATGCAGAGTTAAAGGGCAGGGCCCTGTTAGCCCATCTCACTTCCTTAACTTGGTATTGATAGGGCCTGCCTTGTGTGGGTCCAGTGAGGGTTATAAATTATTAATAGAAATTGTTGTCTGGAGAAGGTGGTTTCACAAGCCTTCTGTGTCTTCCAATAATTACCTACTTCCTGCCACATCTTCCACAATGTTCCCTGAGCCTTGGCAAGGGTGGTATACATATCTCAATCAGGCCTGGGCAGGACAGTCACAAACATTGCATTTCCATCTTCCTAGAGCTATCCCATTCTGCCTACCGTGATTGATGGAGTGGTGCTGCCAAAGGCACCAGAAGAGATCCTGGCTGAGAAGAGCTTCAACACTGTGCCCTACATGGTGGGCATCAACAAGCAAGAATTTGGCTGGATCATTCCAATGGTGAGAACGTTGTACACGCACATGCCTCTTACACAAGTGTACTCATAGTCCCAACCATGATGACCCTCCTGCTGCCTTCCTTCTTCTTCAGCTTTCTTTGAGATCAGAACAGATGTCCCCATTGCCATGAGTGGGTATTTCCATGGCAACATTATCCAGAAAGCTCAACTATCCTCTGGGAATCTTAGTCCTGGAAACCCCTCTTCCAAAACATTACCTTTCCTTAAGGAGTCCTGACATTTATAGGCTGTAAGGGCCAGAGATAAAACCTGTGCAGATGGAGCAACCAAAGACATCTAAGAAGAAGGAAATGGAATACAGAGGCAAGTTGGAGATCAGCAGCTTCTGCCTTGGAGTTGAACTCTTGGGCCTGGTAGATCTACCTCCACAGATGTTCTGAAGTGCCCCATGACCAAGAGTCAGAGATAATTCATTGAGTTAGTTCTGAAATCCAAGCAGGGTGGACTTCTTAATATGTCACAGATAAAGTCAGACACAAAGAAATCCAATTGGCTACTTTTAGTAGCATGACTGAGATATGGAAAAGAGTAGGTGTGACCTGAGTTTGGGTCCCTGACTCCGGTATCTAGAGGGGGTTCAAGGCTGGGGACTCAAGGAGTGACGTGAGTTGTGAGTCTGGCACAAGCCATTGAATTCAGTTCATGCTCTCTCATCAGGACTGGAAGATGTAAGTTGAAATAAGACTCTCACCAAAGTGAGTCCATTGTCTTCCACGGTGGCCACAAAAGAAATCAAGCATTATCTTTCTCGGACTTTTGTTTTTCTAAACATTTTCAAATGTCACAAGCAAAGTTTTTCTCAAGTCTGGAGAAAACAATTCTAGCAAGAAATTATTAACTCCTAGGACAGAGAAAGGACTGGTAACTGCAAGCTCTTTAACTCTCAAAAAGAAGGCTCGAGGGCCAATCTGCCCATCACCAAGTTCAGGCTGAAAAACAGAGCAGTTTCCACAAGTGTCCTAAGCTGGTGCGGTGCCAGGGCATGGCCGTTAGCTGCTAGAGTAGGGTCAAGTCTCTGATTGCAGAGGTTTGAACAAGGTGTGGACATACGGATGGTTCTACAGCTGCTTTGTTGGAGAACTTCAGGGGTCATAGAAGGTGTACAGCCACTTGGCTGACTTCGGCTTCCTTGGTCATCTGAGACTGTGGGCAAGGGCTTGAGTCCTCTGCCCTGTACTCTGACTTGTATATTCTTCTGACCTAGATACTACTTCACTATTTGGATAATTGTGTTATGTGTTATATACAAATATATGTAAACACACACACACACACACACACACACACACACACACATACACTATATATTGGAGTATTTATAAACACACACATCTTAGTACTGCTCATTTGTTTCATTGGTTATTTTTTCAAACATGAAATCTCACACCTAGGAAGACCCAGTAAATAAATTTCCTTCTGTATTGATTTGATTGTTCGACTGTTTTGATTCTTGTCATTTCCCCATAATTCATGACTATTTATTTACACTTCTTTAACAGTTTCAGGGCTTTCCACTCTCTGAAGACACACTGGACCAGAAGACAGCTGCCTTCCTCCTGTGGCAGGCCTACCCCATTTTTGTAAGAGTTGAGGGAGTCATGGAAATTGGCTGAGAAACAAAAAAGTTTGTATGTTTTTCCTGAAACACACACGTATTCAGTGGATGAAATGTCCTTAGATGTTGAACTCAGCTCCAGATTTCTGTGTTTCCCAGTTTAAAATCCTTATAAGAAACTCACATTTGTGATTTGTAACCCAACACCTCCCTGCTGGTGACTGCAGGCAAGTTCTTGGGGGAAAAAGAAAATTGTTTTTAAGTTAGTAAACCAAATAGGATGGAGGCAGGGACTGGTGGCATAAGACTTATATAAGTTGCTATGAGGAGATAGAGAAGAAGGGGCCACCATTGGTGACTACAGATCTTGGGTTCTCTGCTCTTCGGGCACATAGGTTGCTGTGATTTGCAGATCCCCGTAAAGCTAAAGAGAAGTTATGTAACTGCAAATCTTACAACTTTTTTATTCCATTTCCCAGGAATACTTTTTTTTGAAGTTAATTTATTGGATGCCAAAGGTGCCTTTTCCCAGAGAGCAAGGGAAGATAGCAAAAATTGCTTTTCCCTTGAGAACCCAGGGTGTGTATATGTGTGTGTAGAGAAAAGCACCTTTCTTTCAGCATAGAGCTGGAGAATCACCCACTGGAAAGCATTTCCTAAGCCATTAGGTGGCTTTAGTCATATAGACTTTTGCCACTGAAGCCAGTGGGACAAAAAATGATATATTACTAAGATGCCTAACCTCCAAAATTAAATGTAAAATCTATTAAAAATGAATGAACCTAGAGAGTTTATATTAGGCTTCCCTGGGACATACTGTCCTCGAAAAGTTGCCCTCTTGTCCACTCACCCCCAAACCTAGAGGAATTTGGCACAGAATTCATGTGGCTCAGAATCAATGAATCCATGGTAACCACCTCAAGAGGCCCCATTGTAACAGGTTAGGTGGTTACTTTCTGATCCATTTCAGAACATCACTGAGAATCTGATTCCTGCGGCTACTGAGAAGTATTTAGGAGGGACAGACGACCTTGTCAAAAAGAAAGACCTGTTCCTGGACTTGATGGGAGATGTCATGTTTGGTGTCCCATCTGTAATTGTGGCCCGTAATCACAGAGGTGAGTCTTGAGAATGGGGTGGGAACATGAACTTACCAGACAGATCTCTAGCATAAACAGATAGAAAGTCTGCTAAGGGTCGGGTCTTGAAGGCTGCTTCCCTATGGCTTGCAATGTTTAGTATTGCTTCTGCCAGCAAGTATCTGTGAGGAAAAGGTTCACATGCAATGTAATCTAGGAGGCGATGCCAGCAAACTCTCTAGAGAGATGAGGAAGTGACTTGGAGGTCAGCCTGAAGACCCGCCCACCGAGCTATCTTTATAGACCCAAGAATTGCACTTTTAATATGTTGCTGAATCATACTTGGTAAAATGTTGTTGAAGATTTTCATGTCTATGATCATGAAGGATATTGGGCTGTAATTTTATTTGCTTGTAGTATCCCTGTCCTGTTTTAGCATCAGGTTAATGATGATCTCAGTAAGAGAATTTTATAGATATTAGGGAAGAGTCTAAGGATTAGTACCAAAAGCTTTTCCCTTTAATTTGTGGTTCTGTTTATCAGTGAAATTGTATTCACCTGATTTTTTCATCGATGGAGGACTTCTAGTTACTGTTACAGTCTTCTTATTCTACACTGATCTGTTCAGATGGACGATTTCTTCTTGTTTCTATCACAATTTGGTTTGTTAGGGCAGTTACTTAACTGTTTTAGTGCTGATCAGGGGTGCTTTGCTCTGTCCAGATATTAATCAAGGATAAACTCTCCAAGCGCTGGTCTCTGGCAGCTGTGTTTGGTGGCCTGTGGGTATAGACAGGTGGGGTCAACAGCAGCGGGCATCCTCTCGTCTTACAGCCATGCACTACTGGAAAACATGAAACACATACAGTACTTAGTCCTGCAAATGGGTCAGCTCCTGTGTAGGCCCAGGAAGCCAGGATTCCCCAGTCTTTTGCTGCTGTCACTGAAGCTTCTGCAAAAGCAGTAAGCCAGTGGGTATAGGCATCCAAATTGCTCAGTCTTTAACAGCAACCAGTGATGCAGCTCTTGTGTAGCCCCATGAGTGTAAAGTTCCTTAGTCCTTAATACTGGTCAGTGTCACAGCTCTTGGTCTGGGTTCAGGGTCTGGAACCCTGGGCCCAAAGGACTCCATAGCCTTTGCAGAAATCTTCCGTCTGCAGTCTTCCTTTGCTAGCGCCTTCCTGCCTCTGTCCTTCCTCAGTCCAGGTTCCCCACCATCTCCTGCTGTCTCTTCTTCCACTATCTTCCTGGCTTGGCTGTTCTCAAGCTGTTTAGCTGCTTCTGCTTCAGCAGCTCGGCCTGTCAACAGCTCTACGGTCTCTGCCATTGCTGCTGCTGTCCATTGTCATCCCCTTCGGGCTGTAGCACTGCCTTTATGACTGAATTAGGCAAGAGGAGAGTCCTCCAGAGCCTCACACTAGGCCTGATGTTTCAGTACCAGAGGAGGGAGCATAGACCAGTATCTCTCAGGCACATCACCAAGTAATCCTGGACAACCTACAATACCAGAGAAGGGGTATTTACATCAAGAGGTCTTGTGTCTTTACCACTAGGCACCGTGGCCATCTGCTAGATGGCCAAGAGAACTGCTGCTCCTCTGACCTAGGTGCAAATGGCCATAGGGTCATCTAGAGTTCACTAAGGTTTATGAGAGCAAAATGTCTGGTACACGTTATTTCAAACTGTCCTGGTGATGCTGTACCCTCAGTAGCCAGGGCTCTCGGCTGTCTTCCTTGTATGATTGTCTCAAAGAGTCTGTGGAGTTTTCAAGTGGGTTGATGATGGCATAAGGGTTCTTCAGCTGGCTGACTGACAGTCCTTTAGTCCAAAGGAGCCAGGACAGCAAAGGAGACCCCAACAATTGTACACTAGAGAGTCGAGATGCTCCTCCTTCACCATATTTGCTTATTGACAGGAAAACTGACAGAAGGAGGGCTTACCATAGCCAACAGAACTTATCATTGACATCGATGATGGTGTTAACCATCTTAAACACTCTCCTAGTGCACCAGGTACATGTAAGTCCCCTTAAATGACACATTTCTTTCAGTTATCTAATACTTGTGCATATATTTGTCTGCAGTAGTCTATTATGATGCTGGGACAATTCAACATATACAAATGAAAAAACACAATCCACCACATAAATAGACTAAAAGACAGAAACCACATGATCATCTCATTAGATGCAGAAAAGGCCATTGACAAAAATCCACCATCCATTCATGAAAAAAGTCCTGGAGAGAATAGGGATACAGAGGACATATATCAAAATGATAAAGGTGGTATTTAGGAAGCCCACAGCCAACATTATTCTAAATAGAGAGAAATTCAAAGCATTTCCACTAAAGGGAACAAGTCAAGTATGTCCCCTCTCCCATTGTTCAACACAGTAGTTGAAGTCTTAGCTAAAGCAATAGACAAATGATGGAGATAAGGGGGATACAAATAGGAGAGGAAGGAGGCAGTGTCCTCATGGTGATAAGATTCTGTATACAAAGGCCTTAAAGACTCCATTAGAAAACTCCTACAGATGATAAACACACAGGTTTTAGAAACTGAACTCAAGTCTTCAGCCTTGGTAACAAGCTCTTTATTTCCTGAGACATCATCTATATTTAGCCAATAACAGTGTGACTTTAAGTATAAGAACTCTACATCTCTGTTTCTCAACACATACTTTCTTCATGTTTCTGATATCAGAATTTATATCATCTGGACAGACATCATAATTTATTATAATTCTAGTTGATTAATTTGTCTCATTTATAAATATTGGTTTAATTAATTTCTATTGACCTTTTGCACCACACAGGATAAAATTGTGCCCACATTTCAACTACAATTCTAGTGTCCTCTCTGTGGCTTGCTTCACACCTATGGCTTTGATGTCTTATGAGCTTTCTTGGCGCTTTAGTTTAAAAGACCCGCTTTAGCCACTCCTGTGAGGCAGGTCAAAAGGCAGTGAGTTCCGCAGCTTCTATTGGGGAAAGCTGCTGTGTCTCCCTCACTTCTGAAAGGCCCTTTTCCTGAGCACAGGCCTCCAGCCTGGGGTCACTTTCCTCCAGCACACTGCCTGTATCACCTGCTCTCGCAGACCCTGGAATTTCCCGTAAGACATTGGATGTAGGTTTGGCACCTCCTTGATTGTGAAGTTCTCATCTCTGATGTTCCTGGGGTTTCCTTTCTTTCACTGTTAATGCTGTGATTGTTTTGTGTCTTGGCTAAAATCAGCTGGAGGCTGCTGTGCTTCCTGACCTAATGCCAGGAACCTATCCCAGAAGGGAGCATTTTCAGTCGCAATCTCTGGAAATAAACCCTCTGTCCTCCTTCCGTTTGCTTAACTCTGCAAGCCGTCATATTCAAATGTCCATCATGGAGACAGCACCCCATTGTCTTTGATTTTCTTATTGTTACAACTTGTAACTACTAAAATGTGTGTCTTAATTTCCTTCCAAATATCACATAGTGATTATAAGAAGTTTAGAAATAACAGAGGTTCAGCAAAAAAGTAATAAAAATATCTTGGGGAGTATGTTATGTAAAATGTATTCTTTTGTTCACAAAAGATCTCTGCTGCATAGCTGGGGTCTGAGATCTCTTCTAAAATTACCAAGTGGGCAAGATAAGAGCAAACCCTCTTTCCAGCAAGTTCTATTTATCTTGAAGCATTTATTCCATAAATGGCTTTCAGAATTACAGGGTTGTCAATGTTACAGTAAGGGAAGATGTCAAAGGTGATTATTCCTCATCCTATGCTGGGGGGACATATGTCATTAAAAAGTTTTGTCAGTGGATATATTATGATGTGAAATAATGACAACAGTGTATTAAATATACACAAAATTATTTCAAATGTGTATATTATAACATGTATGGTAAAATGGAATTATAAATATATAAAGGTTTGCACATACATGTATATATATATAAATGTGTATCTATATAAAATACATAGCCTATAAAACAGTAGGATATAATTATACATTTTATTTTTGTTTTGATTTTTACTTTTTCTGCAAATTTCAATCCTTTTATAGCCCTGGGGGCAAAGTTGTATGATTTCTCCCCCAGGCTGACATGCTCACCCTTGCTGTCTTTAAGTCAGTCCTCTGTGGCCACCCAAGCACTGCTGTGACCAGGGCACAGTTATGAGGCTCTGTGCTGGGGCTCCATGGGCTGGTACATAAGGCGCAAGGTTTGGTGGCTCTACTGATGCTATAAAAAAGTGGCATCTTGGCTCACCTACAGGGCTTTGCCAGTGAGTGTGAAAGGCTTGTCCGTGAGTGTGGAAGGCTTGTCCGTGAGTGTGGAAGGCTTGTCCGTGAGTGTGGAAGGCTTTGTCGGTGAGTGTGGAAGGCAGAGGAGATGGGGAGAGAGGTTGACAGAGACTCCAGTCCATCTCGCCTTGGCACTTCTGTTTTATTATTATTTTCTCCCATTATGATCTTATACTTGGGCCAAGCACACAGCTGGGTATGAACTATGAAACCTCCAATTTCTGCATAGATTTTTTTAAAAATCTAATTACCATAATTTTCAGAGAGGCAGCCTGGGTTTTCTTCAGCCTGCTCTGTAGAGCTGAGAAAATCCCTAGGAATGCTCAAAGCCAGGCTAGATGAAAGACAACTGTGAGGTTCAGGACTGTCTTTGAAACCAGGTACAACCATGTCATCATTAACACACATCCCATATATTTATTGCATTTGGGGATACATTAATTGTTCATTCAATAAACACCTGGTTCAATTCCTAATTCCACATCAACCAGCTGTGCAGCCCTAAGCAAGTCATACCTTTCTTAAAACTATCTTTCTCTCCTCTACAGATGAGGAATATATTCAAATGTAGGGGCTAGAGTGTGTGTCTGGTATTGTGAACTGTGCATGAATCCATGTCTCCTCAGATGCTGGAGCCCCCACCTACGTGTATGAGTTTCAGTATCGGCCAAGCTTTGTATCAGACAAGAGACCCAAGACCTTGAAAGGAGACCACGGTGATGATCTCTTCTCTGTATGGGGAGCCCCATTTTTAAAAGGTAAAGTCTGTGCTGGCTGTGTCCTTGGGTGGTATGAGCCCTGGGTTTGGGTTTTGGCTTGCTGGCCTTGAGCAAGTTTCTCCTTTTAACTGACTTTCCCAATGCTCTGTAACAGGGCTTAGCTATAGGACAGTTTCCAGCCATGTTCTCCTTCAGCACACACAAAGATGATTGTGTTTGCACAGCTCTAGCCATAATCATCCTCAGAATCCTGACTTGTGACACCAGAAAAGATCTGATGGGTCGCATATAGGCCATGCTTAGGGCAAGAATGCCGTGGCTTGATTTTCTTCCTGTGAGAACCTATTGGAACAGGAGAGGAAATTTAAAAATTTTGCTAACCTTAACAAGGCCTATTGCATTTCTCTCTATCTACCTATATATCTAAAATATATCATAGACTTAGATATTTTTAATTATATGATATTTAAGGGAAGCTTTCACAGAGGTCTTCAGTACCTTATTTCTCAGCAGCTGCGTGTAAGTAGTGATCTCTTACCATGCACCAATGCCTCTGGGGCTGTCTAAGCTGTACAACTCCTCAGCCTCTTATAGTTCTGATCATTTTCAGAGTCTGTGCAAAGGTGTGAGGATAAGAGAGTGATAACAGATCAAAAAGCCTCCAACCCTGCTAAGTCATAGGTAACCAGCTATTGTCATTGTACCCAAGGGGAAAGCACCAGGCAGCTGAACATGGAAGACAAAGGCAGACAGCTTATGGAATAAAGTCATTTGAACATTAAAAGTGTGGGCTTGCTCAAGCAGGATCTTCATAAAAGTTAGATTTGGACTCAATAAGTATGTGATAAGGGCCAAGATTCTTCATTTCTCCTATCCAAATACTTACCAGGCCCAAACACACTTAGCTTCTGAGATCAGAAGAGATCAGATGCACTGAGGGCAGTATAGCCAGACAAAAGACTGTATTTCTTACAGGCTTCCTGTGTTGCTGCTGCTCTGCCTTGTAAACCAAGTCTCACATAGTTAAAGCATCTTCCTTTTTCCTCCACAGGGGGTGCCTCAGAAGAGGAGATCAACTTCAGCAAGATGGTGATGAAACTCTGGGCCAACTTTGCTCGAAATGGGTGAGGCTGGTTTCAGTGTTGGACTAGGTTTGAAGCTATGGTGCGAAGGCTCATAGCTTTTGAGAATGAGTGCTTTCTGAAGCTTGAGTGGTCTACCTCTTTTCCCTATGACCACAGCAATCTTATAATGAGGCCAGAGTTAGTCAGTTTTGTAGATGTGACAATATCTGTGAGACAGTTCAATTGGAAGAATTGATTGTGAAATTTGGCTCACAGATCAGAGGTTTCAATTCTTGGGCACTTGGCTGTTCACTCTGATCTTATGTCAATACAGAACATTGTGGTGGGAAATAGGGTAGATCAAAGCTCTATGGCCCTGTTAATCAGAAAGTAGACATAAGAGTGATAAGGAAGTAGATATAAGGGATAAAGCCAAGGTTCCAATATACTCCTCATGGGCATGTTCCCTATGACCAACTTCCTCTAACTAGTGGATACTCTTAAATTTTCCATCAACTCCCAATATCACCATCAGATGGGAATTATGACCAGCACATACATTTTTGGAGGAATACTTAAGCTCTAAATTATAACCTATGACCTCCAGAGGCTCATGTGTATCAAACAACCTCAATATTACCAATACTAATTAGAAGTCCAAGTCAATGACTTCCTCAGTCTTACAGAAACTCTTAGTTTTGAGTCTCCATTGTAACAGAACAGTAACATTTCCAAGATACAATGAAAAATTCCACACATTCCTATCATGAATGGTAAAACAGAAAAGTGGCATCAAGGAATTGTACCAAAGCAAGTCCAAAGTACAAGAGAAAAATCTTAATTGCTGAAGCTGCGTGTCCAGCATCCAGGAGTCTGTTGGTAGACATAGGTCCTGAAAGACTTGGGAAACTTCTACTCTATGGTATTGTTGTCTTCACTTCCAGGACCTCTCTGGAGCTGGCTGTTCTTATGGTCTGAATCTTTCCTAAGCAAATGTTGCTGGCCCTGCCAGATCTAATTTATTAGGGTCTCCATAGCAACATGAGCTTCACTCTCACAGTGCCATGCATCATGCTCTCAGTCTTGCTAGCAGGGACTTCAAACCTTCATCCCACGTGCTGGCCTCCCAAACCTTCATTTGAAATCAGGTAGAAGCCTTGATGACTCTGTAACTCTTGTATTCTGTCTGCATGCTTATAAAACCAGCACCACATAGACAATGCAGAGATACAACAATGGCCTGAGATTTGCCGGGGCTCTGTAAAATCTGAGCTGTAGCAGCTCTCTGAATGTGGGAAAATACATTCAAGAGAATCACTTCCTTAGGCCACTTTGTGGGGGACAGAAGTCCCTAGTTCTGGCTTCTCAAAGCAAATTCTTCAAAATAACTTTATACTGAAAGCCTAGGATGGGGTGGTTTGTGGCTTCTTAAGTTATCCTTAGAGTAACTCTTACACACAACAGACTTGATCCCAGAGCACTACCCACTCAAGCAACAGAACTGTCCTTGTACACAACTTGAAGCATGCTCCTTGTTTGGCAAAACTCTGAATTTCAAGCCTTTATCCTATGAGTTTTTTCTCCTAAATCTTAGTGTAAAGAGATTACAATCAGCAGAAAATACCATTCCTACTGCCTGAATACCATGCTTTCTAAAATTTCTTCCACTAGTTAAATAGTACATCAACTTTGAACTCAGCCTCTCATAAAATTTCAGGGAATGGATAAAATATAGATAATTTCATTTCAAAGTATAGATAAGTTCTATTGGATTGCTTCCAATATAGTTCCCTATAGAGGCTGCATCCCGTGTGAGTAAGCAGAAGATTGACTTCTCTGTCCTTTTACCCATTAGCTCCCACTGGGCTCTCCTGTAAGCCTTACTAACTGCATTCTGGCTAGTCTGCAGCACACTCATCAAATGTTTCCAAACTCCTTCACAAACCAATTAAAAAGCCTTCTGATCTATATCACTGGATTAGTTAGATAATGTCCAACAGCTCAGTAGCAATTTCATGTATTAGCTTTCAATCAACTCAAAGGATGAGAGATTATTTGGGCTCTGAGTTACACTTGGACTTTTAATTTGGGGCCTGTGATGAGGCAGAACATCAAGGTAGAGTCTGAGTACTATTCAAGGCCAGGCCTTCAGGGACCTGCTTCCTCCAATCACACCCCACTTCCTAAAGTTTCCACTTATGCCCAGCTTAGTATCAGCCTGCATCACATGAGGAAAATTTAATAACCAAACCAAAACATGAATGTTCTTAAAATGAACAGGCTGTCCATCTATGGAAGGTTACTGGTTTCTCTGCATAAAATAAGCCAGGGCATCCTTACACATGTCCAAGCACCACTGGGACAGCATAGTTGATTTGAAGAATTTCTCTTTTTATTCTGCTCACAGGAATCCTAATGGGGAAGGGCTGCCCCATTGGCCAGAATATGACCAGAAGGAAGGCTACCTGCAGATTGGAGTCCCAACACAGGTAGCCTATAAGCTGAAAGACAAGGAAGTGGCCTTTTGGACTGAGCTCAGGACCAAGGATGCAGCAGAGAGTCCAACCCAGAGGGAACATGTTGAGCTCTAATCAAGAGGCCCAGCCAGATTTGAGAGCCTGGAACCAAGAAAGAGGTGTTCCTCAAAGACTTTTTGCTTGTTGGCTTGTTTGTTTGCTGTACAAAACAAGGCATCTTTCTGTTGATTGTATAAACAACTTGATATATTGTACAGACGATAAGAGGAAAATCTTGGTCTTTGTGCTCTCAGTTTTGTTTTTTTTTTTTTTACAACAGTGCAAATCATAACTTTGTAAATCAAACAAGAGTCTGTGTCCTTGAATCAAGATGAATGTCTGTGCCTCTGAGAAGGAAGTATGGAGAGAGATCCAACATCATGGAATGCCACCTCCTCAGTGGGTGAATAGATGATTGACTTTCCTGAATCATAAAGGAAACTATCATGGGGGGTGGGGAGTACATCTGGGAGAGACAGATGAGATGTTGTTGTGCTACTTTTTCCTGGGGACACATGAACGAAGGCCCACTCACTCCGGAAAGGGCAGGAATGACGGAGTAAAAGAATAATCCCAGCTGAGTCCGGCTTGCTGAACCAATGTGTTTATTGGCCTTACTTACATGAGTGGGGATTTCTTACCAGTTTACTGAGAAAGTAGCTGCACCATGAAAAAGTCCTACCTGAGCGTGGGTGACAACTACCAGCAATTGCTGAGATGGAGTCCCAGGCTCGGCTAACCTGTCCACCCTGTATTTACTCCAGCACACTGTGAGGTGACATACAGCTCAGGCAGAATAATACACAACAGGCATGGGATGGCAAAGGGGGTGACTAGACTCTGGTAAGGACCACCCAGGAGGAATATCAAGAGCTGGATTTTGTGAGACTTTGGTAGGGAATCACAGCTGTTCTGATTACAATGTTACACTTATGGAGATCTCTGAATATTGGCTCAGTTCCTACCTTTAGGTGCAAAATGTTTTAATGAATGTGAGGAGGGCTAAAGATTTTAAAGTGATGTGCACCATGTGCAGCCTTAACAAGAGTATAAAACTCCTACGAACCACAAGCTCAAGGAAGTGTTTATACCCATTGTAGGCTTTTCTCTGTGGATGTCTGTCAGGTGATCACAGTTAAGTTTGTGGACCTGTAGCAAGACTGTGATACAAAGTGTTTCTGGAGTTCAGACACAAGGCACCTAACAGGTTTATATTCATGAATAAACAGAATTCTGTACCCACTGGAGAAAGCAAAAAAGGGGGGGCATATTTTTCATTATAGCTTTGTTAAAAAATGTTGCAAATGAAGAGAAGAGCTTGAAAATTCTACCCTCCCATAGTTAGGGAGGAACTGGGAGTACTGGGGGGTGTGAGGAGGAAACCATAATCAGAGTACATTGTATGAAAATAACCTATTTTTAATTCAAGAAAAAGAAAGAAAGGGAGGGTGGATCTATTTTGGAAGCCTGGGTCCTCTGTACCGTACTCTATTCACATTCATTATATTAAAAATGTCCACAGTTCAGATTCTGATCAATCTTCCACATTTCAAAAGTGAAATATGGGCCCTTTTACATCTAGAAAAATCTATTTGTTTTCAATTTGGTATGTGGGTTTTATTGCCCATTTGGAACAGTTTGTCCTCAGGGACAGATCTAGTTTACTTTCAGAAGTCTAGTGGAGAGAATGACTGAGGTCACAAAGGATTCCTTGTAAGACCTAGTATAAAACCTCTTTCCAGTTTCTTCCTATAACAAACGGAAGTAAATAAAACATCCCAGAAAATGCTATCTACTCTGGCATGGTCATGAAGCTTACAACAGTAATTTCTTCCATATGTCACCAGCCATACCTGCAAGGGGGTGGTGGTGGTGGAGGCATGGGACATCAACTGTGACTGGCAGCTCTCTTTCCCAGAATATTCTTTGGATGTTCATAGCAGGATGAAGCCACCACCACTCAAAGGCGTTAAAAACTCCCCAGAACTCCTGGGAGGAACCTATACGCAAAGCATACAGCACAGGAGTACCTGCCAGTAAGGAGACAATTAAGGTTTGGGTTCCACACTGGTTGTGGGGCCATCCACTGGAGTAGAGTCAGTCTACCAGTGGCCACACCCTTAAAGGAACTGACTCTTTCTACTCTAGCAATCAAACACTCTCAAAAGGGTCTAAGTGAGTGGTGGGGGCTCATGACTCTCCCCCCCTCCCCCGCCCCTTGCTAGAATGTTGACTGGTTTTGGTGTTGTATAGGCAAGTTCAACCACTGTGAGATCTTGAGTGCCTTGGTCCTGTCATGGCGAGAAGACATGGTTTTGCTCCAGTTCTCCCTGAACTCTAGCTCTACAATCCTTCCTCTCCTTCCTGCACAGTGTTCTCTGAGCTGTGGGGGAGGAGGGTGATACAGATGCCCATTTGTGCCTGAGCACCCCACCTGACACATGCTCTCTGTACATTGCACTTGTTGATCTAGAAAAGAACCTGTGTTCAGTTCCCAGCAACCACATAGTGACAAAACACTGTAACTTTAGTTCCAGAGAAGTCAGGTCCTCTTCTGACCTCCACAGGCACTGCAGACCTGTGATGCACAGAAATTCATTCAGGCAAACAACAACAACAACAACAAACCCAAAACCCAAACCAAAAAAACTTATACACACAAAATAAAAATGAACAATCCTCAAAGAAAAGATACAAATTTAGAAGGCAGTTTGATATTACTTCCATTTATCAGATAATTGTAATTGTGTCCTTTTTTTTTTTTTTTTTAGACAGGTTTTCTCTGTGTAGCCCTGGCTGTCCTGGAACTAACTCTCTCTCTCTCTGTGTAGACCAGGCTGGTCTAGAACTCAGAGATCTATCTGCCTCTGCCTCTGCCTCCTGAGTGTTAGGATTAAAGGCATGTGCCAACCCTCCAGCAGTAATAGTGTCTTAGTTAGGGTTTACTATTGCTGTGAGGAGACACCATGGCCATGGCAACTCTTACAAAGAAAACAATTAATTGAGGGTAGCTTACTTACAGTTTCAGAGGTTCAGTCCATTATGATCATGAAGGCGAACATGATAGCATGTAGGCAGATGTGGTGCTGGAGCTAAGAGTGGGATAGATTGCAAGCAACAGGAAGTTGACTGCCCATTACACTGAGGGAAGCTAGAGAAAAAGAGACCATAAAGCCTGCCCCCACAGTGACACATTTCCTCCAACAAGGCCACACCTCCTAATAGTGCCACTCCCTTTGGGGGACATTTTCTTTCAAACCTGTAGCTAGAGTTTTCCTGCCTTGCCCACAGTCAGGACAAATCTTTGTCACCCGCCAGTCCCACAGCCGCTCAGACCCAACCAAGTAAACAC